ATTTGCGAATCTACATACAGAACAGGCTAAGCAGGCCTAGGCCTTAGTATGACTTCAATATTAACGAGCAGCGTCACTGTGGCTAAAGGCATAGGCCTAGCCTAGCTGTTTAACTTACATTTGACAAGGAAACTGATAAAACCTGATAAAAAAAAAAACAAGATACCGGTAGATAAAATATTCATGGGCTCAACATTATATTAATATATAAAGAAAGGTCTAATCCAAATATAGATTGGTGGTATGCAGACTTCATTTGTCTGGTACCTGCTACTTACCATGTCGTGTGTGACATTTCCTTTAGGGCAAATAGAAAAATTTATTAGATTATCACTCCCGCCAGCATCAAAAATTCGGGAAATATTGATGCGGGAATAAAAAAAAATTTTTTTGCCTCATCAATTATTTCAACAGCATAAAAATAACAATGCAATTTTGTGACTTCAAATACATTTTCTTTAAAAAAACTATAAAATTAACCCAGTTTTTATACAATATTTACTATTACAGACCAAATATAAACACTCCCTCCCTCATCGATAAAAACAAAAGCGAAATAGATTATACTATTACAGACCAAATATAAACACTCCCTCCCTCATCGATAAAAACAAAAGCGAAATAATCTATTGTTCCAATTTAAAAAAATATAAAAAAAACTGCCCTTCCTCCCAATTAAAAAAAAAAATTTAAAAAAAAAAAAACCGCCCTCCCTCATCAATTAAAAAAAAAAAAAAAGAGTGATCTAATAACTTATTCTATGTGCCCGTATTACAAGTTCATGCACGGTATTTGGTAGGCATTCTCCACTGGCAACCTGCGGGCTGTCTCTGGCCCGCGAGTGCATGTTATGGAGGCCGCGAGAACAAGCCGAAAATAATATTATCCGTTAGGCTTGGGCCTAGATTTCTAACCTTAATCGAAAGAACTATCGCAGCAAACAGCAAAGAAAAGAAATTATAACATGCCAACTTTCGGCCTCTGTACTACAAGCGTCTAGACTCTAGCGGCTTGTTATCTTAAAAAGTTTCTAATTGCAGAGTGGGACACCACCTACCAACAAAACCTCACCTCATCAGATCACAATAATTCTCTTAACAATACGAGTATTTTAAAATGTGACATTACATTGTGCACTACTGTTGCTGCTAGGCCTAACCTTACGAACGAGCGACTGGGTAATCTGGATAAATAACCAGCTGGATAAAGAAAGTGTCGGCCTAGCCAGGACTAGGTAGTCCCTACCCTAGGCCTAACAAGCCTAGGCTAGCATCATCTACTACTAGGGCCTAGCCTAGACCAAGCCTAAAACTAAACCAATAAAATTACAAGCATGTCAACAACAATAACTACGGCCCTAACTTACCTCACTATCGTTAGAGTCCAGTGTATGTGCTTCCCGTGTCCTGAAACAATTTTGACATTTTGTCTTGTTAAAAATATTTGGCTGAAAATTTTTACAAGAGGATTTCGAACTCATTAGATTCTTCTCTGCACGATCGGCAAACCCCATGTTGTTAGTGTTTTGGTAGCGGGTGGGTTCTTGATGGTGCAAGTTCGGGCCTTCAATAGGAAACAAACACCCCGGCCACAGAGGACGTCCCTTCTTACGAGGAATACGGCAATCTGTATCCAATGCGGATTATTCAGAACGTAGAGCTGAAATCACACGGTTATACACATTCCAATAAATCCTAGGCTAGTCCAACATTCTTTGAAAACATTTCGTAAACTTCACAGACAAGAATTGATTATCTACCGCCTGGCAACATCTTCCTGTCCTGTCGCGTTTGAAAATCTGGTGGTGGTGGTGTGTGGTTTGGTGACATGACTGACTGCCACATGGTGAGGGCGCTATATTATTTAGTCTTCAATTTCGCCGTCTATTCTCTCATATTTTCAGTATTATTAGAGTAGGAGTAGGTCTATTGTTTATTTATTGTAATTATTGTTTTCTTTATTTTCTATTCAGCCAAACATACAAATATTTACCTATATATTAACAAAGTTTTGGATAGGATTTATATATTGAACTCAAAGTCAATCCAGGCTAGTCATAGAAATAGTACATAGAGTAATTTAATCATAATTAATTAACAAAATTATTTTAAAAAAACAAACTCAATTAAAAATTAAGAAACTAGCTTTTGTTAACAACGTATAATATATAGGATTACAAAAGTACATCTTATTCCTGTATATGCCTAAAGATTCCTATATAGGCCTAAATATTAGTTAGTGCACTTGATCTATACAAAGAATTTACGAGGTTTAAGAGATAACATTATAGAAACGGAAACGAAAACAAAACACAATCCGTTAATAATTGATATAATAATTAGAGAGTTTATTTTAGTATATGGGAATTATTATTATATAGGCATACGAACTTCAAAACGAATGTATAAAGTATATATTAGATCGTGACCATTTATAATAATATAATAATAATAATAATATGCAGAAATTTATAACGCACCAATTCAAAAAACATTATCAAAGGCGCAGTGAACAATTAACCCAATTAAAGCGATTTTGTAAACAAAAAACTTTCAAATTAGTTTTAAATGAGTTTAAATTTGAAGATTAATTAAATAATTTTACTTTACACTAATTACAGGATCAGGCTATACTGATCGCCCTTCGATAAAATATAAGATATAAGTTATATATGAAGTGTGTATATTCATCCAGTACTACAAAATAACATTTTCTTGAATTGATCAAATACAGTACAAATCTATAGGCCCAGTTCAATTAATTTATTCTTGTACGAATGAATGCATATAGCTTTTTATCGTTCGTTGAACTTTCAATAATATAAGCGCCATATACTAATAGGCTATTGTTATTATATAACAATATTATAATATGTATTATTATGCATACAATAATTTTAAAATTAGTTTATACGACCACGGGTGAGCTTTGATAGACCAATTGTAGTATTCACAATGAAACACATAACATTGTCACAGCCCCTATATTGCACTCACTAACAGTGGCGTATCTAGGGATACGGGGAAGTAAACCATAAAAATGCTCACACCCCCCTCACTCCAGTCGCTTTCCCCATTAAAATGTATCAGATAGCCAAAGGGCCCCCGGCCAGTGGCGTATCTTGGGGTGCTGACGAGGGGGGGGGGGGTGGTGTTGGGCTCGATGATCAGTTGAGAGGGCGCTAACTCGCAAAATAATGTCATTTTATATGCTTTTTAACAACTGGACCGTTTGAGGGGGGACGCCTATACACCCCCCACCCTAGATACACCATTTCCTCCCGCCCTAACGTTACTCCATTGCATGCAGCATAAATACGTTACCAGAGTACGAGGTAACAC